TCACCTCTGTAACTCTGCTGACATAACAGGTGTAACTCACCTCTGTAACTCTGCTGACATAACAGGTGTAACTCACCTCTGTAACTCTGCTGACATAACAGGTGTAACTCACCTTTGTAACTCTGCTGACATAACAGGTGTAACTCACCTCTGTAACTCTACTGACATAACAGGTGTAACTCACCTTTGTAACTCTGCTGACATAACAGGTGTAACTCACCTCTGTAACTCTGACATAACATTTGTAACTCACCTTTGTAACTCTACTGACATAACAGGTGTAACTCACCTTTGTAACTCTGCTGACATAACAGGTGTAACTCACCTCTGTAACTCTGACATAACATTTGTAACTCACCTTTGTAACTCTACTGACATAACAGGTGTAACTCACCTTTGTAACTCTACTGACATAACAGGTGTAACTCACCTCTAACTCTGACATAACATTTATAACTCACCTTTGTAACTCTACTGACATAACAGGTGTAACTCACCTTTGTAACTCTACTGACATAACAGGTGTAACTCACCTCTGTAACTCTACTGACATAACAGGTGTAACTCACCTCTGTAACTCTGACATAACGGTGTAACTCGCCTCTGTAACTCTACTGACATAACAGGTGTAACTCACCTCTGTAACTCTACTGACATAACAGGTGTAACTCACCTCTGTAACTCTGACATAACATTGTAACTCACCTTCTGTAACTCATCGACATAACAGGTGTAACTCACCTTGTACTCTATGACATAACAGGTATAACTCACCTCAGTAACTAACATAAGTTAACTCACCTCGTAATGTAACTGACTAACAAGTGTAACTCACCTCAGTAATTACTACATAACGTTAACTCACCTCAGTAACTTAACATACATAACAGTGTAACTCACCTCAGTAACTATAAAGTATAACTCACCTCAGTAAATAAGTATAACTCACCTCTGTAACTCTACTGACATAACAGGTATAACTCACCTCAGTAACATAACAAGTATAACTCACCTCAGTAACATAAGTATAACTCACCTCAGTAACATAACAAGTATAACTCACCTCAGTAAAACAAGTATAACTCACCTCAGTAACAAAAGTATAACTCACCTCAGTAACATAACAAGTATAACTCACCTCAGTAACATAAGTATAACTCACCTCAGTAACATAACAAGTATAACTCACCTCAGTAACATAAGTATAACTCACCTCAGTATCATAACAACTATAACTCATCTCAGTAACATAAATGTAACTCACCTCAGTAACATAAGTATAACTCACCTTAGTAACATAAGTATAACTCACCTCAGTAACATACGTATAGCTCACCTCAGTAAAATAAGTATAACTCACCTCAGTAACATAAGTATAACTCACCTCAGTAACATAATGTAAACTCACCTCAGTAACATAAGTATAACTCACCTCAGTAACATAAGTATAACTCACCTCAGTAACATAGTATACTCACCTCAGTAAACATAAGTGTAACTCACCTCAGTAACATAAGTGTAACTCACCTCAGTAACATAAGTATAACTCACCTCAGTAACATAAGTATAACTCACCTCAGTAACATAAGTATAACTCACCTCAGTAACATAAGTATAACTCACCTCAGTAACATAAGTATAACTCACCTCAGTAACATAAGTATAACTCACCTCAGTAACATAACAAGTATAACTCACTTCAGTAACATAAGTATAACTCACCTCAGTAACATAAGTATAACTCACCTCAGTAACATAAGTATAACTCACCTCAGTAACATAAGTGTAACTCACCTCAGTAACATAAGTGTAACTCACCTCAGTAACATAAGTATAACTCACTCAGTAACATAAGTATAACTCACCTCAGTAACATAAGTATAACTCACTCAGTAACATAAAGTATAACTCACCTCAGTAACATAAGTATAACTCACCTCAGTAACATAAGACTATAACTCACCTCAGTAAATAATATAACTCACCTCAGTAACATAAGTATAACTCACCTCAGTAACATAAGTGTAACTCACCTCAGTAACGTAAGTGTAACTCACCTCAGTAACATAAGTGTAACTCACCTCAGTAACATAAGTATAACTCACCTCAGTAACATAAGTATAACTCACCTCAGTAACATAAGTATAACTCACCTCAGTAAAATAAGTGTAACTCACCTCAGTAACATAAGTGTAACTCACGTCAGTAACATAAGTATAACTCACCTCAGTAACATAAGTATAACTCACCTCAGTAACATAAGTATAACTCACCTCAGTAACATAAGTATAACTCACCTCAGTAACATAACAAGTATAACTCACCTCAGTAACATAAGTATAACTCACCTCAGTAACATAAGTATAACTCACCTCAGTAACATAAGTGTAACTCACCTCAGTAACATAAAAGTTAACTCACCTCAGTAACATAAGTATAACTCACCTCAGTAACATAAGTATAACTCACCTCAGTAACATAAGTATAACTCACCTCAGTAACATAAGTATAACTCACCTCAGTAACATAACAAGTTAACTCACCTCAGTAACATAAGTATAACTCACCTCAGTACATAAGTATAACTCACCTCAGTAACATAAGTGTAACTCACCTCAGTAACATAAGTGTAACTCACCTCAGTAACATAAGTATAACTCACCTCAGTAACATAAGTATAACTCACCTCAGTAACATAAGTATAAACTCACCTCAGTAACATAAGTATAACTCACCTCATAACATAAGTTAACTCACCTCACTAACTAAGTTAACTCACCTCTGTAACATTAAGTATAACTCACCTCAGTAACATAAGTATAACTCACCTCAGTAACATAACAAGTATAACTCACCTCAGTAACATAAGTATAACTCACCTCAGTAACATAAGTGTAACTCACCTCAGTAACATAAGTGTAACTCACCTCAGTAACATAAGTGTAACTCACCTCAGTAATATAAGTGTAACTCACCTCAGTAACATAAGTATAACTCACCTCAGTAACATAAGTATAACTCACCTCAGTAACATAAGTGTAACTCACCTCAGTAACATAAGTATAACTCACCTCAGTAACATAAGTATAACTCACCTCAGTAACATAAATATAACTCACCTCAGTAACATAAGTATAACTCACCTCAGTAACATAAGTGTAACTCACCTCAGTAACATAAGTATAACTCACCTCAGTAACATAAGTATAACTCACCTCAGTAACATAAGTATAACTCACCTCAGTAACATAACAAGTATAACTCACCTCAGTAACATAAGTATAACTCACCTCAGTAACATAAGTATAACCCACCTCAGTAACATAAGTGTAACTCACCTCAGTAACATAAGTGTAACTCACCTCAGTAACATAAGTATAACTCACCTCAGTAACATAAGTGTAACTCACCTCAGTAACATAAGTATAACTCACCTCAGTAACATAACAAGTATAACTCACCTCAGTAACATAAGTATAACTCACCTCATAACATAAGTGTAACTCACCTCAGTAACATAAGTATAACTCACCTCAGTAACATAAAGTAATAACTCACCTCAGTAACATAAGTATAACTCACCTCAGTAACATAAGTATAACTCACCTCAGTAACATAAGTATTAACTCACCTCAGTAACATAAGTTATAACTCACCTCAGTAAATAAAAGTATAACTCACCTCAGTAACATAAGTATAACTCACCTCAGTAACATAAGTATAACTCACCTCAGTAACATAAGTGTAAATGACCTCACTAACATAAGTATAACTCACCTCAGTAACATAAGTATAACTCACCTCAGTAACATAATTATAACTCACCTCAGTAACATAAGTAAATGACCTCATAACATAAGTATAACTCACCTCAGTAACATAAGTATAACTCACCTCAGTAACATAAGTATAACTCACCTCAGTAACATAAGTATAACTCACCTCAGTAACATAACAAGTATAACTCACCTCAGTAACATAAGTATAACTCACCTCAGTAACATAAGTATAACCCACCTCAGTAACATAAGTGTAACTCACCTCAGTAACATAAGTATAACTCACCTCAGTAACATAAGTATAACTCACCTCAGTAACATAAGTGTAACTCACCTCAGTAACATAAGTATAACTCACCTCAGTAACATAACAAGTATAACTCACCTCAGTAACATAAGTATAACTCACCTCAGTAACATAAGTGTAACTCACCTCAGTAACATAAGTATAACTCACCTCAGTAACATAAGTATAACTCACCCAGTAACATAAGTATAACTCACCTCAGTAACATAAGTATAACTCACCTCAGTAACATAAGTATAACTCACCTCAGTAACATAAGTATAACTCACCTCAGTAACATAACAAGTATAACTCACCTCAGTAACATAAGTATAACTCACCTCAGTAACATAAGTATAACTCACCTCAGTAACATAAGTGTAAATGACCTCACTAACATAAGTATAACTCACCTCAGTAACATAAGTATAACTCACCTCAGTAACATAATTATAACTCACCTCAGTAACATAAGTGTAAATGACCTCACTAACATAAGTATAACTCACCTCAGTAACATAAGTATAACTCACCTCAGTAACATAAGTATAACTCACCTCAGTAACATAAGTATAACTCGCCTCAGTAACATAAGTGAAACTCACCTCAGTAACATAAGTATAACTCACCTCAGTAACATAAGTATAACTCACCTCAGTAACATAAGTATAACTCACCTCAGTAACATAAGTATACCTCACCTCAGTAACATAAGTATAACTCACCTCAGTAACATAAGTGTAACTCACCTCAGTAACATAAGTGTAACTCACCTCAGTAACATAAGTATAACTCACCTCAGTAACATAAGTATAACTCACCTCAGTAACATAAGTATAACTCACCTCAGTAACATAAGTATACTCACCCATACATAAATAACTCACCTCAGTAACATAAGTATAACTCACCTCAGTAACATAAGTATAACTCACCTCAGTAACTTTCCAGACTTGTTGCTTCGCACTTTTTATTATTATTCATTCACATCTTTTATTGTTTTCTTTATTATTCCTCGTCTTAAAGATTTTCACACGTATTTTTGTTACCTTGTTTCTTTGTTTATTTATTTTATCTGAACGGTCACTTTTATTGTCTTTTTTCAGTTTCCCATTTGCTATATTTGAATTTCATTACTAATATATATTATTATTATTATTATTATTACTGGTGTTGTAACAGCTGTTTATCAGTAATTTATTTTCTGCTCTGATTAATCTTATGCAGGAGCAGATGTGTTATATTGTCCGAAAATATTTACTCTTGTTAGGCATTTATTATTAATTCTGTAATGTCCATCAGCCTCAACATCACTATAAGTTCGGGTCCAAAATGTGATAATGTCTGACACCACATCACTGAGACACCAACCGAGAGTGTTGAAAATCTTCACCAATTGTCCGTAGAGTTTCTTGATGAGCAAGGATCTGTGGCACTGTTGTGAGTGTCGAGGATCTGTGGCACTATTGTGAGTGTCTAGGATCTGTGGCACTATTGTGAGTGTCGAGGATCTGTGGCTCTATTGTGAGTGTCAAGGATCTCTGGCACTATTATGAGTGTCGAGGATCTGTGGTACTATTATGAGTGTCAAGGATCTCTGGCACTATTGTGAGTGTAGAGGATCTGTGGCACTATTGTGAGTGTCGAGGATCTGTGGCACTATTATGAGTGTCAAGGATCTCTGGCACTATTGTGAGTGTCGAGGATCTGTGGCACTATTGTGAGTGTCGAGGATCTGTGGCACTATTGTGAGTGTCGAGGATCTGTGGCACTATTGTGAGTGTCGAGGATCTGTGGCACTATTGTGAGTGTCGAGGATCTGTGGCACTATTGTGAGTGTCGAGCATCTGTGGCACTATTGTGAGTGTCGAGGATCTCTGGCACTATTGTGAGTGTCGAGGATCTGTGGCACTATTGTGAGTGTCGAGGATCTGTGGCACTATTATGAGTGTCAAGGATCTCTGGCACTATTGTGAGTGTCGAGGATCTCTGGCACTATTGTGAGTGTCAAGGATCTCTGGCACTGTTGTGAGTGTCAAGGATCTCTGGCACTATTGTGAGTGTCGAGGATCTCTGGCACTGTTGTGAGTGTCAAGGATCTCTGGCACTATTGTGAGTGTCAAGGATCTCTGGCACTATTGTGAGTGTCAAGGATCTCTGGCACTATTGTGAGTGTCGAGGATCTCTGGCACTGTTGTGAGTGTCAAGGATCTCTGGCACTATTGTGAGTGTCAAGGATCTCTGGCACTATTGTGAGTGTCAAGGACTCGTCAATTCCCCTGTTTTCTAATAATATTTTTTTTCCCAATAATCTACCTTGTCCATAATTACTATAGCATTTGCTTTGTCTGTTTCGTAAGGTGACGTCCAGGATCTTTACTTAATTCATGGTATAACTTAACAAATATTTGAGGACAATTGCAGAGGTCTGAGCAGGCACAACTGTCCTGAAAGATTAGTTAAGTTATATCATAAATTAAGTAAAGATCCTGGACTTCACCTTACGAAACAGACAAAACAAATGCGATAGTAATTATGGACAAGGTAGATTATTGGTAAAAAATAAGCATAATATTAGGAGAGAGGGAAACTCACGATCCTCTTAAGACTGGAGAAGTGTGGAGTGAGTGGTGATGATGTGACCGCGTCCACAGGCACACTGACCGCCCTGCTACTCTCTATCCCCTTCAGTGTTGCTACCCTGGGAACTAAATGCCAAGGGGAACTCTGAAAAAAATTCCAATAATTCCCCGGATTTGTATAAGCTCACGACAAACCTTTCCAAAGCTCAGTTTGAAGGAGACTCACCTCAACTGGAACAATGAACTCGGTGTCACTCTCTACGTTGTATAGTTAACACGGTAGAGGCTCTGTTTTTTTTCTTTTTTTACACTAATTTATACTTAAAGATGTTATCATATATCAGCTTATTTATTTAATTAATAGCCAGTCCTACCACCTCTTAGAATGTCACCCGTAATAGTCGAGTGAGTTCTAGATACCCATGTATTGCTGGGTGACTATTATTTTAACATAGAAACAACAGGTGCAATAGGGATTAGCTTATACGTCTCGCCCTGCCCTGGGATCGAACCTGCATCCTTTCGGACGTTACCACGAATGAATTCTGCTTCTTACTGTCATTTTGTATGACTGAGGACGAGTTGTATCTTCTACAACCTTATGATGGCTCTCAGAACGGGGAATATACCTTTTGTTCAGCAAAAACTTCTTTTATTGTGAAGATACTTGTTACAAAAATTGCTCTATACACGTATGGGTCTTTCAGCGCTGCGCTGTGAATGATGGTGACGCCAAGACGTGTGAAGGATGAGCAGTAAGCTGGCGCCTTAAGACATTCTCAGTTAAGAGGACATGCAGTAAAAAGTCTGCATTGAAGGTAGGACATTCATAGAGGGCAGCCAGGGTGAGGGCAGCCAGGGTGAAGGCAGCCAGGGTGAAGGCAGCCAGGGTGAAGGCAGCCAGGGTGAAGGCAACCAGGGTGAAGGTAGCCAGGGTGAGGGCAGCCAGGGTGAAGGTAGCCAGGGTGAAGGTAGCCAGGGTGAAGGCAGCCAGGGTGAGGGCAGCCAGGGTGAAGGCAGCCAGGGTGAAGGCAGCCAGGGTGAGGGCAGCCAGGGTGAAGGCAGCCAGGGTGAAGGTAGCCAGGGTGAGGGCAGCCAGGGTGAAGGTAGCCAGGGTGAAGGTAGCCAGGGTGAAGGCAGCCAGGGTTAGGGCAGCCAGGGTGAAGGCAGCCAGGGTGAAGGTAGCCAGGGTGAGGGCAGCCAGGGTGAAGGTAGCCAGGGTGAAGGTAGCCAGGGTGAAGGCAGCCAGGGTGAGGGCAGCCAGGGTGAAGGCAGCCAGGGTGAGGGCAGCCAGGGTGAGGGCAGCCAGGGTGAAGGCAGCCAGGGTGAGGGCAGACAGGGTGAAGGCAGCCAGGGTAAAGGCAGCCAGGGTGAAGGCAGCCAGGGTGAAGGCAGCCAGGGTGAAGGCAGTCAGGGTGAGGGCAGCCAGGGTGAGGGCAGCCAGGGCGAAGGCAGCCAGGGTGAAGGCAGCCAGGGTGAAGGCAGCCAGGATGAAGGCATGTAGGGTGAGAGCAGCCAGGGTGAAGGCAGCGAGGGTGAGAGCAGCCAGGGTGAGGGCAGACAGGGTGAGGGCAGCCAGGGTGAAGGCAGCCAGGGTGAAGGCAGCCAGGGTGAAGGCAGCCAGGGTGAAGGCAGCCAGGATGAAGGCAGCCAGGGTGAAGGCAGCCAGGATGAAGGCAGCCAGGATGAAGGCAGCCAGGGTGAGGGCAGCCAGGGTGAAGGCAGCCTGGGTGAAGGCAGCCAGGGTGAGGGCAGCCAGGGTGAAGGCAGCGAGGGTGAGAGCAGCCAGGGTGAAGTCAGCGAGGGTGAGAGCAGCCAGGGTGAAGGCAGCAAGGGTGAGAGCAGCCAGGGTGAAGGCAGCCAGGGTGAGAGCAGCCAGGGTGAGGGCAGCGAGGGTGAGAGCAGCCAGGGTGAAGGCAGCGAGGGTGAGAGCAGCCAGGGTGAAGGCAGCGAGGGTGAGAGCAGCCAGGGTGAAGTCAGCGAGGGTGAGAGCAGCCAGGCGAGGGTGAGAGTGCAAGGCCGAGGGTGAAAGCAGCCAGGGTAAGGGCAGCCAGGGTGAGAGCAGCCAGGGTGAGGGCAGCGAGGGTGAGAGCAGCCAGGGTGAAGGCAGCGAGGGTGAGGGCAGCCAAAGTGAAGGCAGCCAGGGTGAAGGCATGCAGAGTGAGAGCAGCCAGGGTGAAGGCAGCGAGGGTGAGAGCAACCAGGGTGAAGGCAGCGAGGATGAGAGCAGCCAGGGTGAAGGCAGCGAGGGTGAGGGCAGCCAGGGTGAGAGCAGCCAGGGTGAGGGCAGCCAGGAGTGAAGGTAGCCAGGGTGAGGGCAGCCAGGGTGAAGGCATGCAGGGTGAGAGCAGCCAGGGTGAAGGCAGCGAGGGTGAGAGCAGCCAGGGTGAAGGCAGCGAGGGTGAGAGCAGCCAGGGTGAAGGCAGCTAGAGTGAGAGCAGCCAGGGTGAAGGCAGCGAGGGTGAGAGCAGCCAGGGTGAAGGCAGCGAGAGTGAGAGCAGCCAGGGTTAGGGCAGCCAGGGTGAGAGCAGCCAGGGTGAGGGCAGCCAGGAGTGAAGGTAGCCAGGGTGAGGGCAGCCAGGAGTGAAGGTAGCCAGGGTGAGGGCAGCCAGGGTGAAGGTATGCAGGGTGAGAGCAGCCAGGGTGAAGGCAGCGAGGGTGAGAGCAGCCATGGTGAAGGCAGCGAGAGTGAGAGCAGCCAGGGTGAAGGCAACCAGGGTGAGAGCAGCCAGGGTGAGGGCAGCCAAGGTGAAGGCAGCCAGGGTGTGGGTATCAGTTGTTGAAAGAGACACAGGAACGGAAGTTCAGGTGCTCTTTAATAAACAGGACAATCAATAACAAGATGTTAGACTGACAGCAACACCATTGAAGGTGTTTGCTCTGCTAGCATCACAGATAATTCTCTGTCATGGAAGCAAGGAAAAGAAGACAATGAGTAGCTCAATGACCCAGTAATGAAAGTGTACTACAATCTACGTACAGTCCTGTAACTGATCATGTACAACAAGCTGCCAGACACAGACAGTCCTGCTTGTGAAAGACACTAGACCCAGTGTATGGTGAAGATAGACATATACTTGGTTTCCAATGGTTTCTGACCTTTTTGGGGGGTTATCCTGGGTAATTTATACTGTATGATAATTGTGCTTACGTGTCCCTGTATCTAAATAAACTTATGTGAAGTCGAGTTTACTTCGGACGAAGGATTGAATGAAGTCGAGAAATTTTCCACTCAGCCTTCAGGGAAATTTTACAAAATTGAGAATGAATTTAATCTGCTTTTAGGGATTTTGTGTGGGATTTCTAATACAATCAGCAAACAAACAAGAGGCTAAAAATTTTACTTGGGATCAGGGGGAAGGAGCTGTTGATACGGACACAAAAGTATCTGCCGCCAATCCCTCAAGGTCCTTGATGCTGCCGAGGGGCTCTTGAAGACATTTCAACTGTCCTCATATTCCTTGATTAATCCTGGATAATAATAATAATAATATATTTATTTCTACAAGTACATGTACAATGTATACAGACCATATTATTATTATAATCAAAAAGAAGCGCTAAGCCACAAGGACTATACAGCGTATACAGACCATAGCTGACATTAAGGACATACTATATTGAAAGTCCCTTATTATGCTTAGCATTTCGGGCAAATTAGGTCAGTTTTGTCCCAGGATGCGACCCACACCAGTCCAACACCCAGGTACCCATTTTATACTGATGGGTGAACATGGACAACAGGTGTCTTATGAAAACACGTCCTAAAATTTTCCAGCCGTACCGGGGATTCGATCTCCAGACCTCAATGTGTGAGCTGAGTGCTGAATGACCCCTACGGGTTAAGCGCTTCCCCGTGATTTTTAAGTGTGTCTGCCGTAAAGGTACTGAAGAGAGAGCTGACGAAATAATGGGTCTGGGACAACATATGATATGGCGAAGGTAGCCACCACGTTGCCCTCGCTGAAGTGGTACCTTGGAGTGAAGGATGAAGCACTCCAGTACACACGTGAGGCTGAAGCACTCCAGTACACACGTGAGGCTGAAGCACTCCAGTACACACGTGAGGCTGAAGCACTCCAGTACACACGTGAGGCTGAAGCACTCCAGTACACACGTGAGGCTGAAGCACTCCAGTACACACGTGAGGCTGAAGCACTCCAGTACACACGTGAGGCTGAAGCACTCCAGTACACACGTGAGGCTGAAGCACTCCAGTACACACGTGAGGCTGAAGCACTCCAGTACAACGTGAGGCTGAAGCACTCCAGTACACACGTGAGGCTGAAGCACTCCAGTACACACGTGAGGCTGAAGCACTCCAGTACACACGGAGGCTGAAGCATTCTAGGCTTCCAGTACACACGTGAGGCTGAAGCACTCCAGTACACACGTGAGGCTGAAGCACTCCAGTACACACGTGAGGCTGAAGACTCCAGTACACACGTGAGGCTGAAGCACTCCAGTACACACGTGAGGCTGAAGCACTCCAGTACACACGTGAGGCTGAAGCACTCCAGTACACACGTGAGGCTGAAGCACTCCAGTACACACGTGAGGCTGAAGCACTCCAGTACACATGTGAGGCTGAAGCAATCCAGTACACACGTGAAGCTGAAGCACTCCAGTACACACGTGAGGCTGAAGCACTCCAGTACACACGTGAGGCTGAATCACTCCAATACACACGTGAGGCTGAAGCACTCCAGTACACACGTGAGGCTGAAGCACTCCAATACACACGTGAGGCTGAAGCACTCCAGTACACACGTGAAGCTGAAGCACTCCAGTACACACGTGAAGCTGAAGCACTCCAGTACACACGTGAGGCTGAAGCACTCCAGTGCACACGTGAGGCTGAAGCACTCCAGCACACATATGAGGCTGAAGCACTCCAGCACACATATGAGGCTGAAGCACTCCAGCACACATATGAGGCTGAAGCACTCCAGCACACATATGAGGCTGAAGCACTCCAGCACACACGTGAGGCTGAAGCACTCCAGCACACACGTGAGGCTGAAGCACTCCAGCACACACGTGAGGCTGAAGCACTCCAGCACACACGTGAGGCTGAAGCACTCCAGCACACACGTGAGGCTGAAGCACTCCAGTACACATGTGAGGCTGAAGCACTCCAGCACACATGAGGCTGAAGCACTCCAGTACACACGTGAGGCTGAAGCACTCCAGCACACACGTGAGGCTGAAAACACTCCAGCACACACGTGAGGCTAAAAGCACTCCAGCCCCACACGTGAGGTGAAGCACTCCAGACACACGTGAGGCTGAAGAAACTCCAGCACACACGTGAGGCTGAAGCACTCCAGCACACACGTGAGGCTGAAGCACTCCAGCACACACGTGAGGCTGAAACACTCCAGCACACACGTGAGGCTGAAGCACTCCAGCAAAACACGTGAGGCTGAAGCACTCCAGCACACACGTGGGGGCTGAAGGCACTCCAGCACACACGTGAGGCTGAAGCACTCCAGCACACACGTGAGGCTGAAGCACTCCAGCACACACGTGAGGCTGCCTCTATCACCTTACTTGCTTCCACTATTCTTTATTTAGAGGCACAATAGTGATCAACATGTAAGTGCAAATGGGAAAATAAAAGTTATAGTAAAGATGCCAATTTCATCCAAGAAATCATGAACCAAAAGGACATGAAGGAGCAATAATTGTGTCATGCAGGGCCAGCACCTATTCTCCCATTGTCTATATATATGTACAAGGAAGGGCCACAACTCAAGGGGCAGATTCAAACACCTGGTAAGCAGAAACAAGGATCGTCAGACTCCATTCATGGAAGCAGTAATGAGTTAACCTTGGCAAGCTGCTGTCACCATACATAGGCAAATCCCAGCCAGCACAACCCACTGTAACTACTAAGACAAATTTCCCCACTGCCAAGTTATTATTATTATAACAAATTTAAGCTCTAAATCCATAAGGATCATACAACTCTCCACCACGGCAAAGAATTTGACCTGAGGTAGGTAAGATGACAGGGAAGGTTCCTTGATGTTGGTGAGGGGCTCTTGATTTAGGGAATTGGATCTGTGCTCCAGTTCCCCAAATTAAGCCTGAATGCCTTCCACATCCCCCCCCAGGCGCTGTATAATCCTCTGGGTTTAGCGCTTCCTCCTTGATTATAATAATAATAATAATCGTATTGTAGATAGTCTTAATGACCTTGGTGTAGCAGATAGTCTTTTTAGTATGATAATAAGATGTTATCTTCATTGTAGAATAATAAGAAAATATTATAACCTTTATACTATAATAATAAGGTAAAAGGACCCCAATGGAAATAAGTCACTCTGTCTGACTTTTTTGGGTTATCCTAGGTTCCCTACACATATGCTGCTATGTATGATAATTCTATGTAACTGTATTTGTGTTTACCTGAATAAACTTACTTACTTACTTACTTACTTACTTATTATTATAATCAAAGAAAGTGCTAAACCGACAAGGGTCATGCAGTGCTGTGGGGCAGAAAATAAAGTCGGGGCTATAAACAGTTAGGTGGAGAGGGGATCAGAGGTGAGGGAAGAAAAGGGCTGGAAGGTATGCTAAGGGCTATGTGTCAAAGTTTGTACAGTAAAGCAGTTGCTGACAAAAAGTCAAAAAGTGATTGTAAGTCAAAGGCAGGGCCGTCTGCAAGGAGGAAAGATAAGGTAAGAGCAGTAGGGCGGCGGCGGCATTGGAGGTAAATCCTGTGAGCTCGCTGGTAAATCGGGCAATCCATAAGAAGGTAAGGAGCCAAAATAGGGACCTAACAAACCTCAGAGAGAGGAATAGGGTGTCATTCCACGAGATACCTATGGGTAAGGCAGGTATGACCAATGTGGAAATGGGAGAGCACAGTCTCCCAAGTATGGCAATGGTGGTAAGATGGGCACAGACCTAAAAGCGGCTTAATAGACTGCAATTTGTTATGGTGCATGGCTGACCGCCGTTGTTGCCAACGGCCACGAAGACGGGCATAGATGACTGTAAAATAATCCCTGAATGGAATACCTCTATAGGAAACCAGAAGATCATGTACCGCTGACTGCGCAGCAGCACCTGCCTATTCAATGCTCTGCATATCAACATGTCCAGGGATGTAAAATGATAAGATTTGTTCAGATTTTTCACCCAGAGTTAGCCATCCATGATAACCCAAGAAAGTCAGTGTGTCATCGAGGACTGTCCATCTTATTTCCACTGGGTTCTTCAACCTTGTCCCCCGGGATGCAACCCACATCAGTCAACTTACATCCAGGTACCTACTTTGTTCTAGGTGAATAGGGACAGCAGGTGTAAGGAAATATGCTCAACATTTTCACCCATGCTGAGGATTGAACCATGGACACTAATTGTCTGTGATTTTATTCTTGGGTTGTGCAAGAATGTGATTATTATATTCATGGGACATTATTACTTATGGAAAGTGCTAAACCCAGAAGGGTCATGACACTATTCATGGAGAAGCACTAAACATATAAATAATTTCATTCTCTCTCTCCCTATACACCTACTTCAATTATTATTAAAATCATGGTGAAGTACTGAACCTGTTGGAGTCATACTGTTCTTAGGGAATTAGTAGGCAGTCAGGTTTGATTCCAGGAGGGTAAGGTCATTTTTATTATTACATTTGTAGAGGAACACTAAACTAGTAGGGGTCATATAGTGCTTGAGGAAATGAGAGGCAATCAAGTTTGATTTAAGGAGATGGAGGATAGGTCCAATTCCTGTGATCAAAAGCCCTTTGTTGGAATTAAGGCATCCACTCTTTTGAACTGATGAGAGTAGCATAAACTGCTTTGACCAAGAGACCACCAGCATCAAGGGACAATTCAGAAGTGTTAAACCCACCAGGATCATACAGTGCTGCAGGGTGGGATGTGCTAAAGATGTACAGGAGGGTCCTACTTATATAGCAGCTAGGTTCCAGGCCACCACTGCAAAGCAAAAATCACTGTAAGGTGAAACACAGCCTTTTTTCACCTTCAGTGCATATACAAGCCTAATAATATGTTTATACTATCATATATTAAGAGAGCAATATAGTTAGGCTTAAAAAATGGATATACATTACACACATTACTTATCATAAAATATTTTCATCCTTAGCCTAAAGTGAGGGGTGAATACATTTATTGTAGGAAGTCTGAATAACTGAAGAATGGGTATAACTGAAAAGTGCTGTATTAGTGAAACACCGTAAAGCGAAATGCCGTAAAGCAGGGCCCGCCTCTACTATACCAGGACAGATACTAGTGAAGGTGATGAATATGCCAGAGGTAAAATCAGTAAGGGTGGTGAGGAAGTGCTAAGGGAAAGTAAAATCAAAGTCAGTGTAGTAAAGTTGTCACTAACAAAAAGTCAGAGGGGGAGTCTGCATCAAAGGTAAGGCTGTCAGCGAGGAAGACAGATAAAGTAAGGGAGTTAGAGTGGTGACAATGCCATCAAGGAACAAATATGTGATTACCTACAAGAATTTAGTATGGGAACTCTGGCCATTGGCCCAACATCTTGACATTTTTGACCAACTAGATGTGAAATATCTTTTTGAACCTCTATATTGTTGCTTCCACTGTATCATTGTTCAGTTCATGATACTTCTTTACTGTTCTTATGTTTGTTAAAGAAATATTTTCCCATGTCCTTGGGGCTAATTTGGGTTCTGCAATTTCCATCTCTACCCTCTTTGTTCTTGTTATTATATTCAGAAAACAGCACTTAATTGCTGGGAAAAACACATAAGGACCACTTTCACACAAATGTGCCAAATTTGTGTGGAATTATACAATGCCAATAGCTTAGAAAAAGTGACAGCAGAGACCAGTATGAAAGATGTGGCATGTTCATATGAAGAGGAAAAATAAGGGTGTTCTTGTTAGTTCTGAGCCTACCTTGTTTATTTCTTCCTGAGAATAGTCATGATCATATCCCTTATTCTTTGTTCATCCACTGATGAAAATCCTAGCTCTTTTCACTGCTCATTTCCCTTAGTTATGGAACCATTCTGGATGCACTCCTTTGGAGTTTATCAAGTTTCAATGTTTTCTGAACTTTCTGCTTGTTTTAGTTCTTATAGCTTGAGATACAAAAGCTGCTGCAATATGACTTATCCTAACTCAGCAGTAGGTTTCACCCTTTTATGTGGGATGACAACTTTCAGTTTCTTCAGTAATTATGGCCTATCTTGAAAATAAAACACTCAATTATGTATCAAATAATGATTTTTGTTGCCAATAAAAGTATTGTGAGGACTAAACAACCTCAAGAAAAAATGTTTAGTAACCCCATTTAGGGTTGCGACACCAAGGTTAGGAATTGCTCCATTCTGTAGAATGTAATACATGCCAGCAAAAGTGACTTTTGAATGTGGTTGTATAATATAATACAACATATGGAGGTTCCATGTAAGGATTTATATAAAACACAGAGTCAAAAATTTAAGTATTGTTCATTCTTACAAGGGCCATAAGTAGATCAAGGCAGAATAAAAATACATAGCTAATGTGTACAGTTGACATTTTAAATTGAATGACAGTTTATAGAAACAAATTTCATTCATCATCACTGTCTTCTTTCTCACATTTTCTAACAAAATTTGAAATTCTACTTTTTGCAGGAACAATACATTCAATTCTCAAAATGTATTCTGCAAAATAAAACACACACTCTAAAATTTTGAAGAATGTAAAAGGATTCTGATATCCCATAAACTTATTTTCTTCCATTATGCTAGGCAAAGGAAATTTTTGGTTATCAGTTCTCAGTTTTTTAAAGTTACTATACAATCTAGTTTCAAATTCTAAGTAATTCTTTGGGGAACATTTTAACTTTTTGTACAGCAACCATGGTATTTCATTTAAAACCTCAATAATTATCAAACGACATACATTATCAATGTTTCCTGAGATATTTTCCTTTACTAAATATTTAGCTAAGAGCTCTACATAACCACCGTGAGGTACTGAGTACAACACAGGCGATGGGCTTTGTGGACGGATAACCGAGTCTATATTTGTACAAACATCCCTTTCAATAGCATCTTTATAAAGCCCGTGACCAAAATTATGGCCTGGGGTTACAGGTGATGTACACAAACAAGATTCGTAACTATAGTCTGTTACATTCATGTTCTTAACATTTTCACTGCTGGTATTTAAATAAATATTCTGACCAAAATTTAAGCAATCTGTCACCCAAGAGTTGAAATACCTGAAAACCTTAGAGTAGGCTATGGAAAACTGTTTACATTGAGAAGGAGTAGGACCACATAGTAGAATTTGGTGAACATCAAGTCCATGCAGTCTTACAAAATGAGATGTGCCTACCACTACAGGTTCAATTTTCTCTAAAGGTTTAACAAATCTCATATGTATATCCCCTTCATTAAATAGGGGTGTAATATTAAATTTCTTTATTAAGAAGTGCCATTCTTCATTTTCAATCATATCTATTAATGAAAAACCATATTTACAGCACTGAGATACAGCCCAGTCTGGAAAGAAAGTAGAAGACAAAATAACACTAACACCAAATGATTTCAAAGTAGCAAAACAAGAATCGAGAAGATTTTTTTGTATAAAAATGCTCTCAATTAGTGTTTGGTCACAATCAGTTTCAATGACAGATGTACAAATTCCATTCTCCTTTTCTTCTTCCAGATTAATTGACCATAAAACAGAGGAAACATTCTCAAATTTCATATCCTGGTGCAGGTACCTGAAATTTCTCGTAAGTACAAAACCAGATATCACATGCGATTTAAATAAAGGCATTTTGTACACTTCAACAATTGCAATATGGGCATTTGTTGTTAGGTCATGCAATAAATTTATAAGTTCTCTGCTACTACTGCACTGACAAAACAAATATGTTGCCAACAACTGGGAAAGGCTTTTAACTACAAGTTTGGAAAACTTTGTTTGGAAGAAATTCTCAGAAGCCCTTTGCAATATATCCACAAGGGCTTCAAAATTGTGAAGTGGGTATAACTGAGTACCATATTTTATCACATCCATTATGATACTACTTTTAACATAGTTTCTTAGCTGCTGGGTAATTTGTACCATCTTTTGCCTTCTTGTGGCCTGAGATACAAAATGAGGTGTTGCAACATGACTATCTAGAGAATGTAAAAGACGTCTCAATAACAAAAAACTTACTTTGCAACCATCACCTAAAATTTTAGTTTGATCTAAAATCCCACGTATGACCATATTTACTACAGGATCACAAACATCTAATATTGACAGGAGTTCCATTCCATCTTGTGTAATAACAACACTGCCTGCCCTCTCCATCAACACAGCTCTTCCATAAGGCCCAAGGCAGTCCTCCAGGATTGATGCAAGGCTGCCACACTGGATCACCACATTTGATATACCAATTTCCTTTCTGCAATATGCCATCTTGTTCTGTAAATACATAATTATTTTTTTTTAGATTCCTTCTCAATGGAAATTAATTTTGTAAACATAACCTATTATGTTTTTAAACAGTAATACACAATCTTTTATAAAAAATTAGATGTTGAATTTTCTAATAAAGTAGGAAATTTTTGAACAGTTTTTTCTATAAGATGCTGTAGTTAAGAAGAGTTGCTAGTAAGAAAGTTTATTCAGGTATACACAAATACAGTTACATAGATTATCATATATAGCAGCATATGTGTAGAGAACCTAGGATAACCCAAAAAAAAAAGTCAGAGTGACTTATTTCCATTAGGGTCCTTTTAATAACTTATTATTATACAATGTAGAGGATAATATCTTATTATTATACTATAAACAAGATATACTATGAATAAAGTAAAAAGAGTTATTTACATTTACATGCGTGTTAGCTAAAAAAAATAAAAAATCATTCTCCTCCCATTCTGTTGCTACATTCATTAGGTACCTTTTGGCTCTCTTCTTGAACTGGTTCATGCTATGACTGACTTTGACCTGTACAGGCAGTCTGTTCCATTCCTTTATTGCTGTACAATAAAAAGGTGTTTGAAGCCTGGCCACTGACTGTGGCTACTACAAAGTTGTGCTCTCTCCCCCTAGTACTGTGCTTGCTTTGCTTCCCAGCCTTGACAAAATTAGCAGCAAGATATTCTGGACTGTAACAGAAATACATAATTGACACCAAATTCTTATACTATACCCGTGGCACTTCAGCACTGTTATAAATGTACAGTATTTTACTATCTATGTAACTGCACCTCCTCCAAAATATTTCTTTAAATTTCAGCTTTTAAATAAAATTACTGATACAATTGTTACTAATCACTTTTCAGCTTAAGTGTAAATATATAACCTAGTTTTTAGTACTAGAGAAATTCTTTTAAAAAACTAATACATTAATGCAGTAAATTTTGAATTGTTTTGAAAAATAGTATACTAAAAAAAGTAATACAGTAGTTATGTTTACAGATCACCTCTACTGATACTTGTGTTTCCTTTGAATCAGTTTATTTTAATATTGCACTGGAAAATAATAATTTGGGATATGTTCAGATTTAAGATAATCAGCAATATTCACACAGTACTGTACATTTAATTTTGTTAATCTTGTTTTACATACTGTATATTATTATTATTTTGTTTTCATCAAACCGGAATTATCCCACCAATGCAGGGTGACCTAAAAAGAAAAACGAAAGTTTCTCTTTTTCTTTCTTTCTTTCTTTCAACACACCGACCGTATCCCACCGAGGCAGGGTGGTCCAAAAGGAAAAACGAAAGTTTCTCTTTTTAACTTTAGTAATATATACAGGAGAATAGGTTACTAGCCCCTTGCTCCTGGCATTTTTGTCGCCTCTTACGATACACATGGCTTACAGAGGAAGAATTTTGTTCCCCTTCTCCATGGAGATAAGAGGAAATAAACCAGAACAAGAACTAGTAAGAAAGTAGTAGAAAACCCAGAAGGGTGTCTATATATATATGCTTATACATGCAAATGTAGTGTGACCTAAGTGTAAGTAGAAGTAGCAAGACATACCTGAAATCTTGCATGTTTATGAGACAGAAAAAAGACACCAGCAATCCTACCATCATGTAAAATAATTACAGGTTTCTGTTTTACACTCACTTGGCAAGATGGTAGTACCTCCCTGGGCGGTTGCTGTCTGTCAACCTACTACCTAGGTATTATTATTATATTGAAAAATTTAAGATAACAGGACATGGTAACAATGTGAATAACAGCTACACCAAATGCTGAGCATATACTGAATGACTGTGGCAAACGCAGATCTATGTTTGGACAGTTTAAGGGCTAAATGTTTACTATATAATGATGGTGATCATGTTGGCCATCCTACAAGATAATAATATTTTTTAACTCTAATTTGCAATGTTTGTCTATGCTAAATATAAATCCACTTTGAGTAGGACTTTGTAAATATGAATTCATTACCTTGTGATTACCACATGATACTGTAGCTGTCACTTCAAGCTTCTCTTCCTCCACAGCTTGGGCTACACCCAAACTTTGTCCATTGGCTCTTAGTCTTCATGTCTTGCATTTATACTAGATATACTAGTATGCTATAAAAAATATACATTATTTTGTAAATAACTGCTTCACATGTGCAACCTACAGTGACCAGTGACTGACTATTTTATATCCATATGCTTATACAACATACATAATATATATATATATATATATATATATATATATATATATATATATATATATATATATATATATATATATATATATATATATATATATATGTCGTGCTGAATATGTAAAACTTGTCAGTTAGCAAGAACTCATTTAAAATTAAGTCCTTTCTAAATTTTTCTCGTATACATTTAAAGATACGTTTCCTCAATAAAGATACCCAAGAGTTGCACATGTGCCTAATTTAACACCCATTCATCTACAAAGATACAGTGTATATACAGTCACCCTCAGACATACCAGTATAAACAGTCACCCCCACACATACCAGTATATACAGTCATCCTCAGACATACCGGTATATACAGTCACCCCCACACATACCAGTATATAGTCACCCTCAGACATACCGGTAAATACAGTCACCCCCACACATACCAGTATATACAGTCACCCCCACACATACCGGTATATATAGTCACCCTCAGACATACCGGTATATACAGTCACCCTCAGACATACCAGTATATAGTCACCCCCACACATACTGGTATATACAGTCACCCCCACACATACCAGTATATATAGTCACCCTCAGACATACCAGTATATACAGTCACCCTCAGACATACCAGTATATTCAGTCACCCCCACACATACTGGTATATGCAGTCACCCCCACACATACCAGTATATACAGTCATCCTCAGACATACCGGTATATACAGTCACCCCCACATATACTGGTATATACAGTCACCCCCACACATACCAGTATATACAGTCACCCTCAGACATACCGGTATATACAGTCACCCCCACACATACCAGTATATGCAGTCACCCTCAGACATACCAGTATATACAGTCACCCCCACATACCAGTATATACAGTCACCCTCAGACATACCAGTATATACAGTCACCCCCACACATACCAGTATATACAGTCACCCTCAGACATACCGGTATATACAGTCACCCCACACATACCAGTATATACAGTCACCCTCAGACATACCAGTATATAGTCACCCCCACACATACCAGTATATACAGTCACCCTCAGACATACCAGTATATACAGTCACCCTCAGACATACCAGTATATACAGTCATCCCTCAGACATACCAGTATATACAGTCACCCTCAGACATACCAGTATATACAGTCACCCCCACACATACCAGTATATACAGTCATCCTCAGACATACCGGTATATAGTCCCCCCACACATACCGGTATATAAGTCACCCTCAACATACCAGTATATATCAGTCACCCCAACATACCGGTATATACAGTTACCCCCACACATACCTGTATATAGTCACCACTCAGACATACCAGTATATACAGTTACCCCAACATACCAGTATATAGTCACCCCCAACATACCAGTATATAAGTCACCTCCAACATACCAGTATATACAGTCACCCTCAGACATACCGGTATATACAGTCACTCCCACATACCAGTATATACAGTCACCCTCAGACATACTGGTATATACAGTCACACCCACATACCAGTATATACAGTCACCCTCAGACATACCAGTATATAGTCACCCCCACACATACCAGTATATACAGTCACCCTCAGACATACCGGTATATCAGTCACCCCACACATACCAGTATATATAGCACCCCCAACATACCAGTATATACAGTACCCCCACACATACCAGTATATAGCACCCTCAGACATACCGGTATATACAGTCACCCCACACATACCAGTATATACAGTCACCCTCAGACATACCGGTATATACAGTCACCCCACACATACCGGTATATACAGTCACCCCCACACATACCGGTATATACAGTCACCCCCACACATACCGGTATATACAGTTACCCCCACACATACCAGTATATACAGTCACCCTCAGACATACCTGTATATACAGTCACCCCACACATACCGTATATCCCCTCAGACATACGATCAGTCACCCCACACATACCAGTATATACAGTCACCCCCACACATACCAGTATATACAGTCACCCTCAGACATACCGGTATATACAGTCACCCCCACACATACCAGTATATACAGTCACCCTCAGACATACCGGTATATACAGTCACCCTCAGACATACCGGTATATACAGTCACCCCACACATACCAGTATATACAGTCACCCCCACACATACCAGTATATACAGTCACCCTCAGACATACCGGTATATACAGTCACCCCCACACATACCAGTATATACAGTCATCCTCAGACATACCAGTATATACAGTCACCCTCAGACATACCAGTATATAGTCGCCCCCACACATACCAGTATATACAGTCATCCTCAGATATACCGGTATATACAGTCACCCCCACACATACCAGTATATAGTCACCCTCAGACATACCGGTATATACAGTCACCCCCACACATACCAGTATACACAGTCACCCTCAGACATACCGGTATATACAGTCACCCCCACACATACCAGTATATACAGTCACCCTCAGACATACCAGTATATAGTCACCCCCACACATACCGGTATATACAGTCACCCCCACACATACCAGTATATACAGTCACCCTCAGACATACCAGTATAGTCACCCCCACACATACCGGTATATACAGTCACCCCCACACACCAGTATATAGTCACCCTCAGACATACCAGTATATAGTCACCCCCACACATACCGGTATATAGTCACCCTCAGACATACCGGTATATACAGTCACCCCCACACATACCAGTATATACAGTCACCCTCAGACATACTGGTATATACAGTCACCCCCACACATACCAGTATATACAGTCATCCTCAGACATACCAGTATATACAGTCACCCCCACACATACCAGTATATAGTCGCCCCCACACATACCAGTATATACAGTCATCCTCAGATATACCGGTATATACAGTCACCCCCACACATACCAGTATATAGTCACCCTCAGACATACCGGTATATACAGTCACCCCCACACACACCAGTATATAGTCACCCTCAGACATACCAGTATATAGTCACCCCCACACATACCGGTATATACAGTCACCCTCAGACATACCGGTATATAAAGGTCAACAGGTCAAGGGGGTCAAACTACGTCTGGTAAATAAGTGATTATCAGGCTTGACCCGTAGAAGAGGTGCATAGCTCCAATTCCTTGGATCAGGAGATCATCAACACTTAAGCCGAAGGGGTCAAACAGCACCTGGGAAGTAGGTGGTTATGAGGGTTGATCTGAGGAAGCCAAGTGTAGCTCCAAGTCCATGGATCAAGTGCCTGAGTGAACCAGGGTAATATTACCTCCATCAAGCGTAAACAAACTTCCTCCTTCATCACTCCAGCAATTATTTTTAGTATTAACATTTTATTATCCTGCCGTTATAATTTATTCAATATATATATTTAAATGTAGAAAAATGTATTAGCTCCTAGAGGGCAAAACTAGGCATTTAGTGCAAAGACAGAAAATGTTACCCAAAAATATTATGATGAAACTCGTAGTTGTCATGGCAACCCCAGGGCAGCCGCCAAGCTTGAAATATGACTTTGTAACTATTTAAGCTCAGGTACACATAAATACAATACATAGTGTAAATTACCTAGCTAACCCTCAAAAAAGTCAGACAAAGTGATTTATTTCCACTGGAATCCTTGTTATTCCATTAGGGTCCTGGTTATTTTCAGTGGAATCCTTGTTATTCCACTGAGGTCCTGTTATTTCCATTGGGGCCCTTGATTTCCATTGGGGTTTATTTAGGTACAGGTACGCATAAGTACAATTATCATACCTAGTAACATATATGTAAATTACCTAGAATAAACTCCAAAAGTGTCAGACAACGTGAAATATTTCCATCGGGATCTTTGAGTTGTAACATTCAACTTAATGTAAGTTTATTCATGTACAGGTACACACAAATACAATTACATAATTTGTCATACATAGTTGCATATGTATACATTACCGGATAACCCAAAAAAGTCAGACAAGGTGACTTATTTCCATTGGAGTCATTGTAAATTGATGTTAGGTTAATATCTTTATTATGTATCCCATACCAGTCCTGTGGGCGGTAGTCACACCACATTCATCCTGTGGGTGGCAGTCAAAAGATTACAGAGGTATATAATGGGTCCAGGGACTGGACCCCAAAGTTATGATAGCTGAACAAGTTACAAAGGTAATGAACTCCAGGTAGATCTGGTCACAATCATGACAAGTTACAAAGGTAATGAATCATCTACACTTCTATGTTGCTATTTATTCCCTCATCTATGTCGTTTACGTAAATTGTGAATAACAAGGGGCCCAACACTGACCCCTGTGGAACACTGTTTGTGACTTGCCCCCATTCTGATTTCTCCTGGAGGTACGAGGTCCTGTGCAGAGCTTTGGTAAGCTGAGGAAGGAAGAAGGATTGGTTTGGATGGAAATGTGGGAAAGGGTTGGGAGGGTAGTGGGGGAGGTGGGGTTTTTAAAGGCCTAATCACTTACTCGCAATTTAAACAAATGTGTGTGTATGTTGTGTTATTCACGAGAAAGTTAGATTCATAAGATAGGTATACTTCCTGCCATCAATTACACATAGTTATACAAGCTGTATACCGGCATGCCGCTGAGTTGAAAGGATGCATACTATTTGCAATTGCCTTTTTTTGCGCAAGAGGTCAGTCGTAAGGCTGCTGCTGCAAGCGGTAGTTGCAGGTCGTTCGATGGGGATTGGTTGCTAGCCCGGAGTTGGTTGGCTAAGCAGTTTCTGAAGTGGTATCCTGCAGTAGGATGTTTGCATATGTTACAAGGTTAGTTGTAAGGTGACTCACGAAATCGTAATGACACAATTGCAAACAAACCATACCACGGGTGGGATTAGAACCACCCGTGGTTCTAATCCCACCAGAACGCGACGGTCTGGAGTTCTGACACTCTGATCGCGGGTTCTAATCCCACCCGTGGTATGGTTTAGTTGTAAGGTGTTGATTGATTGATAGAAGTAGGTCACCCAAAAATTGGGGAGCATTTATCCTTGTTGGATATAGAATGGTTCTGGTGGTATCCATTCTTCTATTTCTTCGGGGAGGTCACTCAGGATTCTTGATCTAGTGCAACTGCAAGTACCATTTCAATTTGTATTTTTATATTATAACGTCCAGTATTGGGCCCCTACTTAAACAAGATGGGTCCTACACAGATGACAACAAGGAAATGAGTGAGCTACTCAAGTCCCAATATGACTCAGTTTTTAGCAAGCCGCTAACCAGACTGAAGTCGAAGATCAAAATGAATTTTTTATGAAGACACAAAATTTGATTAACACAATCATATCCAGATGTTACCTGACGCCAAATGAACTTTCGAACAGGCGATAAATGACATGCCCATGCAACTCTTCCCCAGGGCCCAGACTCATGAAAACTCTGTGTTCATCAAGAACTCAAGAAGCCCCTATCACGACCTTTCCATCCTATGGGAGGAGCATGGACACTGGGGTCGACCCACATTACTAAAAACAAGAGACATAGCCCCACCCACAAAGTGGCAGTAAACAACAGCAAAGAACTACAGACCATAGCTCAAATCACCCATATCATAAAAATCTTGAAAGTCCAAGAAGCAAATCACCACGCATCTAGAAACCCATCATTCCATCAACCCAGGGCAACATGGTTTAGAACCAGGTCTCTCCTTCTGTCTCAACTATTGGGTACCACTACGACAAGTCCTAAATGCACTAGAAGACAAAAGAATGCAGATTTATCTATACAACTTTGCAAAAGCCTTTCGACAAGTTGACCATGCGTAATATCGCACAAAATGCGTGCTAAAGGAATAACAGAAAAGTCGGTTCGATGATCTATAATTTCCTCACTAACAGAACACAGAGATATCGCAACAGAGTAATAGTCCGAGGCAGCTACGGTGAAAAGCTCCTGTTCCACAAGGCACAAGTACTCGCTCCCATCTTTTTCCACTGCCTTATATCCGAAATAGACAAGGAATGTCAGCCACAGCACCGTGTCTTTCCTTTGCAGAGACACCTAATCTTCATGACAGTGTCTTCCATTGCAGACACTGCAAATACAACCATGCAGACATCAACCAAATCTTTCAGTGGGCTGCAGAAAACAAATATGAAGTTTCAACGATGAGAAAATTTCAATTACTCCAGATATGGTAAACATGAAGGAAATTAAATCTTCACGAGTACAAAACAAATTCTGTCCACAAAATAGAGCGAAACACCAACGTCCAAAGACCTGGAGTGATCATGTCGGATGATCTCACCTTCAAGGAACAATAACATTGTATCAATCGCATCTGCTAGAAAAATGACAGGATGGATAATGAGAACCTACAAAACTAGAGGCCAAGCCCCATGATTACACTCTTCATGTCATTGTTCTATCTAGGCTGGAATATGGCTGCACACTAAACAGCACCTTTACAAGGCAGTGAAATTGCCGACCTAAGAAAATGTACAGAGAACTTTCACCGGCGCGCATACGAGATAAAAACACCTCAATTATTGGAGCGCTTGAGGTTCCAAAACCTGTATTCCCTGTAACGCAGAGGGATAGATACATTATTATATACACCTGGAAAAAATCCTAAGGGACTAGTACCGAACTTGCACAAGAAAATCACCCACTTTTTACTAACAGCAAACACTTGCAACGATGCACCTCCCCCCAATGAAAAGAATGGGTGTCACTAGCACGTTTAAGAGACACATACATAAGTGTCAGGGGCCGATACGTTCAACTGCCTCCCATCACTCATAGGGGGATTACCACCATACCCCTGGTCAGTCCCTTCAACTGGCACTGGACAAGCACCTAAAGTCAGTTCCGGATCAGCCGGGGCTGTGGCTCTTATGTTGGTTTGCGTGCACCCATCAGCCAACAGCCTGGTTTGATCAGCTCTATCCACAGGAGGCCTGGTCTCAACCGGCCGCGGGGGCGTTGACCCCGGAACTATCTCCAGGTAAATCCAGACTCTCTCCAGGTATAATCCTATTCTAAGATTGTTTTCATATCATTGACTATATTGTGTGTGCAATTAGTTGTATATGCCAATTTATATTGTTCAAGGCCCTTACTATCTTTGCTACTATACAACCAACCTCATATATGTTTTTCTACTTTTTTTATTCTTTTTGCTACCTTAACTTGTATATTTTATCTTGTCAATTTAATCTAGTTATACTCTAATTCGTGTAAACAAAATTATATAACACCTTAGTGCAAATTACAACTGAGAGTCTTGTGCCTTTTTTATATCATTAGATTAAACTCAGTTGTACTATAGCTCATTCTAGCTCAATACATAGTCAGTACCAAAGTCATTATATTAGACCATAGTGTAATTACTAGTGAGAGCCTGGTGCTATTTTTAATTTGTATTTTACATTATTAGATTAAACCTAGTTGTACTATGCTCATTCTAGGTCAATACATAGACTATACCAAAGTCATTACATTAGACCTTAGTGCAATTACAAGTGAGAGTCTTGTGCTATTTTTAATTTGTATTTTTATATTATTAGTTTATACCTAGTTGTACTTTAGCTCATTCCAGCACAACACATAGACAACACCAACTTCATTATGTGTATTAGTGACTATACTCTACATGACCAAAATGCTATAGCTATATACTTGTCCAAACTTCCCACCACTACAGATATCAGTACTAAAACTCAACACACAACTCAGGATATAAATAACCATAATTTAAACCTAGAAGATGATTGATCACGTTGACCCTGATCTAAACCTACATAATCTGACACACAATCAAAACCTATTGGAAAGTAACTGCCTTTACTACACAGCATCACAAGCCAGCACTATCCTAAACAATGATAAAAGTCTATCAGTACTTAACTACAACATCAGGTCCTTAAGCAAACACTATGATGACCTCCTGGCACTCCTTGAATCACTAAAGACACCCTTCTCCTGCATTATTCTTACTGAGACCTGGCTTAAACAGGACACAATAGATATCTACCCTCTACCAGGATACACAGCAATCCACAACTGCAGACCATACCAAGTTGGGGGTGGTATTGCAATCTATTACTCTAACCAATTATCTTGTATTCAGCACCAATTGCTTTAGTGATGAATATGGAGAATACATTTTTGCTAATTTTACTGTAAAAAACCTTAAGACGCCTATAACAATCGGTGCCATTTACCGGATACCCCACACTAACATCCCAAACTTCAGTGAGAAATTAAAGGCACTAATAACAAACAGACAAATGAATAAGCACCACCTTCTCTTAGCTGGAGACTTCAACATCAACCTTGGCCTACTAGATGATCAGCCTGTAACTGATTTCAT